AGAAGAAGAAGAAGAAGAAGAAGAAGAAGAAGAAGGAGGAGGAGGAGGAGGAGGAGGAGGAGGAGGAGGAGAATAAGACCTTTCAAATACGGCCAACTGTGACATTACCGTGTGCTGTGTCCAGTTGCTGCAGGAACATAAACAATTCACAACGGAAGCGCTCTTTATTCCGCTTCCACTTTCTAATTGAATGTGTGTGTCTGTTCTGTGCAGGCATTTCATCGATCAACCCATTCTGGATTCTGACCTGCTGAACACAACGACTGCTCCCGAGCCTTCTCAGGTTGGTTTTTCTGGCAATCCAGTCACCAGCCCTCCCCTTCTCCTCTTCTCTTTATGCATGTTATGCGGTCAGCATTCTCCTCTCTGTCTCTCTTCTCTCTATCTCTCTCGTCTCGTCTCTCTTTCTCCCTTATTTTATGTCAAAGGAAGTGGCCTCTTCTCGTCATCCTTCCATCTTCTTCTCTTTTTTCCTTGTGAAATTCTACGTTCTGTGTAAACATCCCCCATGCGGTCGGGGTTCTGCTCTCTCTCCAGCCTTTTAGGCGTGTTGGATGTCAAGCGGCTGTGCATGATTTTGCTGGAATAGTAAGCAACTGAGGGTATGCTCACATCATGACTTAACTTGGAAAGCATTGAGTGATTTGCAGATTGGTGTCCAGAGATTGTGAAAGCACCCTGTAAAATAAGACCCTGTGCGCTCTTGCCTTGCCAGGCAGGGTTGCAGACCCACCAACTGCCGACCCCGACCGGAAGGTGCCGATCAATCGAGGGGCCCGACCGTCGGCCTGTGCAACTCTGCTGCCAAGAGGTCTTCGTCTCGGGCGTTGAGCAGGCACTCCAGAAGTTGCCAATGAAGGACACATCTGAAGGACACATCTCATAAGCGATGAATCCGCCGATGATGCTTACTGGAATAAGAGCCGACTCCTTTAGCCCTGCTGTCTGTCACTCACAAGATGTTCCTTCACATTATAGCTCGGAAGAATCAACTCCAGGAGGCGTTACATGTCTCAGCATCTGAAGTCGACCCCTCCTTGGGAGAACGAGAAACCCGACATCGGCCTTCTCCAAAGCGACGGAGTATAAAATAGTTATCAGGACTTCTCAGGCTATCGTTGTTGAAAAGCTTGCTGCCCTATCTACTAATCACAAAACACGAATTCGAGATCAGTGGATCCGGAGGTCCGGTGTTCCCGAAGAAGAGCCTAGGGGGGCTTGTCGGCCGAAGACTGTAAAAGCGCGGGAAGAATACTCCTCTGGTCCTATCCGGCCAGGGGCACTGAACCTATCGGAGATGTTTGCCAGGTTTGTACGTCAGAAGAAAGTTTACATCATAGCAACCATCATCAAGCTCACTCAAAGACAACCATGGATTCAACCTAATTCACACAACTCTCAGACCACAAAAGCAAAGAAACAAGGAAACAAAGAAACAAACGGGATTGCAATTCATCACTCCAAAGCGGAAACACAAGATAGAAAACCAATGCGAGATGAGAACGCTTTGAAAATTGTTCAGAGAATTAAAGTCTTCTACAACAAAGTCGTGTGTATATACAGGGGCGATGATGGCTGTCAGCAACGTTGAACAGGTATCTCTCTCACTCTCACTCTCACTCTCACTCTCAATCTCACTCTCACTCTCACTCTCACGCTCACTCTCACTCTCACTCTCTCTCTCTCTCTCTCTCTCTCTCTCTCTCTCTCTCTCTCTCTCTCTCTCTCTCTCTCTCTCNCTCTCTCTCTCTCTCTCTCTCTCTCTCTCTCTCTCTCTCTCTCTCTCTCTCTCTCTCTCTCACTCTCTCTCTCTCACTCTCTCTCACTCTCTCTCTCTCTCACTCCCTCTCACTCTCTCTCTCTCACTCGCACTCTGTCTCTCTCCCTCTCCCTCTCCCTCTCTCCCTCTCACTAACTATGCTACCCTCAGACCTCCACCTCTCTCTGAATGTCTTCCTCGGTCTTTTTTTGGGATCTCTCTATCCTTCAAGCTACGCTATGGTGCCCAGCGCTGTACATGACTTCCTTGGAACCCCACTCGACGCTTGGTACCACAAATCCATTGCAGCGCTTCCATGGGACTGAGCTGCCGACTGGTTGGAATGACTTGACTGACTGGGCCAACAGAGCTACTGGACCTATTGGGCCTAATGGCCGCGACCTAACTAACCTACCTACGGCACGGTACTATTGTACATGGGACTTCGGGACTTGGGACCGAAACTGGGACTTTGGACGCTGAGATGCGTGGAATCTTTTGAACCATGTCTCACTGAAATTAGTGGCCTCTCCAGTGTATCTCTCTGCCTGCTTTGCGCCTGTGACACGAACACCATTCTCCGTTCCTGTACCATACCGCTCCTCCAGCTTTCTTCGTATATTGCGCCAGAACGATGGTGTCGTGCACCTGGAGTGGTGGTGGCATCCTTCATCTTATGACAGAGTAACGACTGAGGTTTTTCTCACCATGGTACTGTACAATTTTTAATTTATTATTATGGAGCAGTTTATTAAACTTATATTTATTATTTTCAAAGCCTCAAAGGCCTAGAGCAGCAATCTGTTTGGCATCTGATGCACAATTTTACACGTTTAGCCAGAGGCAGTCTGGGCGGCTTGGCTGTTAACAGAGATTAACTCATTTCTAGAACTTTTATTATGAACAGTGTCTCAATTTTTGCCTTGCTTGTGTGCAGGAAAACATTGTTTGGGCACTCAACCATTGCTACAAAACGTTACAGTTCAGCGGCGCAGGTGACATGTATGTCACTCCTCCTCGTCCTCCTCCTCGTCCTCCTCCTCGTCCTCCTCCTCCTCCTCTTCCTCCTGCTTCTTCTTCTTCTTCTGTCTTCTTCCTGCTCCTTCCTTCCTCGTCCTTCTTCTTCCTTCTTCTTTTTCCTCCTCCTTCCTCCTCCGTCTTCTTCTTCCTCTTCCGCCTCCTCCTTGTCGTGCTTGCTGCTTCTCATCCTCGTCATCATCCTTTCCTCGTCACCATCACCGTTCTCTGCTCCTCCTCTTCCCCCTCCATTGTTTTCATTGTCGTTGTTGTCATGTGCTATCATTTTCGTCATTCCACCCACGGTGTGTGCAATTTTTGGGCTGTCATTAGGTAGATATGCCCACATTGTTCATTATTTCTCACCGGATTGTTCTGTTTGATTGCAGATGGGGCCGCGCATTGATGTTGAGATTTCTAATTCACCTCGTTGGAGACATTCATCAGGTGAGACTTTTGTGTTTCTCTTTCCAAGGAAGCCTTGTCTGTCTTTCATTTGCTGTTGTCGGAATTGTTCTGTCGTGGGGGCTCACCACCATCCCTGAGGAGTCACAGGCACAAAAGGACAGAGCGGCATTCCGTGTGTTTGCACTCTCTTTTTCCTTCCAACCTCTCTCTGTTGTTCTTCCTCCTCTGGAGATAAGAGTCGAGTCAGCCATTTGCAGATCACACATGTGGTGTACGCCTTGTGGGCCAATTTGCAATTCGGGAAATCATGTTCTTTCCATGGACGTATCTCCCAGGGCCAGAATCTACCCTTGTACCTGTCTATGTACAGGGCCTGGACCTTTGTAACCTTTTGGAAGTTACTGGATTTCTCCCCTTAGCCTACTGGGCCTGCTTGGACCTATAGCTGATTTGCTGAAAAAGGCCTACGGGGTCCCTATCAAATTCTAGAACTAGGGCCAGCAGCGTCTCAGTTGGTTGAGCATGCAAGTGGTATTCAGGAGGTCGTGGGTTCAATCCCGTACGGGCACCTGAGGCGGGTTTGGTGTCCACCAGCTGAGATAGTTAGTTAGTCCCCCTGGCTGGTTTGGTAGGAGCCGGGGTGTTCGCCAACCCTTGCACATGCCACCAGTAGCTGGTGGTTAGGAGCGTATGTACTTCTCCCTGCACAGAATCGAGTGGATCGACATAGGCTTAGGCCACCTAGCGGATGGTTCCGCCTAGCAGGTTGTTCCGGGCATTGGCGCTGGTTGATACTGGCATAGATAGGTAGGTAGTGGGAGGTATAGTGAGTGAAGAATATAGCCCAGTAACCCTAGTTTGCAGCCCTTAGGCTGCGGCATAGTGGGCTTCCGCGTCTGTGTCAAGGTGTCGCATTTTTGGCGGCAGGCGACCGGGACGCAAAGTGGATTCTTAGGGGGCAAAAAAATTTGGGGGACCGGTCCTTGGCAAAACTGCGGACTACCTACAGCTAGCTCTGCTAGAACCGGGACTTTTGGAAAAAGGAAGGACCGGTCCTCAGGTGGAAGTGGACCCCAAAAAGAAGTGGGGGGCGTTGGACCGGACCCTGGGTAGAAGCGGACCCCAAAAAGAAGTGAGGGCATGTGAACAGCAAAAGGGCCTTCAGGGTGAACAGCATTGAGCCCCGTCTTCTCAAAACAGGGAGGTCAGGCACAACGAAATAGGCATTTTGCAAGAGGCAACTTTGGCGATTTTCTGTGCTCAAACGAACATGCACAAAAATCTGAAATTTTGAGAATCCATAGATGAGGTCGTGTTTTTTCCAGAAATAATAATAGAACATTTAAAAAAAATCATTTACACTGCGAAATAATCGTCGCACCGGTTCGGCACATTTTCCATTTTTGCCACTCAGCCATGCCTGGGCCAATAAATTTAAAAAAATCATTCCAACTGCAAAATAGATCGTGGCCGCAATTTGACCCATATTTAATTTTGCCATTCACTCTCTCTCTCTCTCTCTCTCTCTCTCTCTCTCTCTCTCTCTCTCTTTGTCTGTGTGTGTATAACACACCCACACAAACATCTGACACATGCGCACACACTCTCTAACACACACACACACACACACACACACACACACACAGAGAGAGAGAGAGAGAGAGAGAGAGAGAGAGATAGA